CTCCCGATCCCAACCTACAGCTCCCTACAGTGAAGCTATGGTACCAAGTCCCCGTGTGCTTTGGGTCTGATCTTATCCCAAAAAAGCCAACAGTTACAACTCCAAGGGATGTTAGCATCAAATACCCTCCGAGGGAAAGCTCCAGTCATGTATCTCTATGGAAGACAAACATGTCGTCTTAATATTGGGGACCCATGAAAGCAGCATTGCCCAGCAAAGGACACAATGGTGCTGCCATGTTATGCTGGATCAAGCAGCTGGTTTTCATCCTCCAGTGACCACTCCAGCCCTAAAGCTGCTAAGATTGGGATATCCCTGTTGTGTCCCAGGTGGAAAGGACGCTTTACAAGCAGAGTCTATGAGCGTGCTGCTCCGGCAGTTTGGTGACATCTCCATTGGAAAGGAGAAGGAGATGTGTAATAAGTAGCAGCAAAATATAAAAAGAAGCTGGAGGGGAAGGTGTAGCTCCCTTCTTGTTCCAGTTTGCACAAAGCCTTTGGCTTTCCCCTGCACCTCTGCCATCTTTCCAACATGATATGCAGGAGATTAAGATTAGCAGAAGAAAAGAGGATGTGCTGGCCTGCATTGCCGCAAAGAAAGCCCAGGAGTATACATGCCACAAAGACGACACTCAGCATCAGATGAAGAACACGGCCCTACCTGCCAACTGTTCCTTGGGAGCAGGGGAATCCTGCTTTTAAGACAAAAAAAAGAACAAAACAAGCTGTCATTTGCAGGTGGGGGAAAGAATGTGCGCCATTAAAATGCATCGGTTTGAGAATCATTCCTCATTTGTCTCCCCAAACTTTATAGCTCACCAAACTGAGCTCTGCTCTGCCGGCAGTTAGCTAGCCAAGAAGTTCACTGAGGTCAGGATTACACATAGAAGAGTTTTTAGGACCGAGGCTGCGTTGCCCCCACAAGCCTCTCGAGACTTATCATTATTCAACCCCCAAGAAGTTATTTTTCTGCAGTGTCAGCACAAACAAGGCAGCATTCTTGCAGCTTGGAAACCCCCCAGATTTCCAACTGCATTTAGGACCTTGTTTTTCAAGATCACCAACCGTTCTCAGACAGTCCAAGGATGCCCCCCGCACAAATGCTCCCCCGGGCGCACAATGCTGCCACAGCGAAGCGATCCAAAACTCCTGACATTACCGCATTGCTTCCGCCGTCTCATGCCACGTGGCATAATTGCTCCCACGGTCCAACGTGGGATCGCAGCACTCGTTCCCATGCCACGACACGGGTCCCAAGTGTGCCAAAAATTGGCAGGCCCAGTGGTGTTGTTTTCATTCGGTTTAAATCTTAGTTGCATGTGGGTCAGACCCCAAGTCCACAAAAAGACTTATGCAGAAAGACCCACGAGGATTTCAGTGCATCTCAAACCAGCCTCTCTAGTCTTACCTTCTAGAGCAGAGGTTCCCAAATGTGTCCCTGTTGTGCACCCTCTTCCAGGCATGCCAGCTGCCTGCGTCCCCCTACCCGCACACGTTTCATACGAAACCCGTGAGTGCCAATTCTGATGATGATGAAAACTAAATGTGCCCTTACACAATTCCCCTGTGTACCACCCCCACCCCGAGATGTCTTTGTACCCCCACGGGGACCTGCGCCACGGTTTGGGAACCCTGTTCTACAAGCATGCAGCAGCCTGCAACCTGGCTCACCCAAGACTGTTTGCAGGCAGGGCAGGGCAGGGCAGGGCAGGGCAGCTGTTCCTCTTATCAGAGGGGCGCATGTGCGTACCGGGGTGTATGCATCACGCGTGTGTAGACAGGGCAGCTGTTAATGTGACCAGGTGTGCATTTTGGGAACTAAATGCAGAGACCAGCAAGAGCACCCGACCTCAGCCCACCAGTGCATTGGTCCTGGAGTCTTTTTGGGTCCCCGCATTTCTCTGAGCCTCTCTCTACACCCCAGAGCCAGGCCCTGCCGCGGGAACAGCGTCCTGCCCCTCTGCACGGGACACGCCGACCCCGGGTTTCCGCGTCACCTGCAATCCCGCAGCTCGCGCCCTCCACCCCCTGCTCGCACCCGGCCAGGCCAGGCTGCCAGCCCCGCGCTCAGGCTTCACGCTCCCCCCGCGGGGCCTGGCAGCTCATGCAAAGCCCTGCGGCGCCTGCAGAGCCCCGCCGCACGCCTGCTGCGGGCTCGCTCCGCGGGGTTACCTCAGGAGAGGGAGCCGGGGGGGCAGCAGCCCCAGGGGGATGAGCCAGCTCCGAAGAGGCAGGGAAGGGGGAGCAGCCCCGGGCACG